GAAAATGGTGCTGACATCAATTTATTACGTGTTTCATTTATAAGAATCCTTGCTTGTATAAATCCCCATGGTTTAATTGAATCAGCACCTAAATAATTAATGAAGTTGATTTAGTTGTAAAGACGAATATGTGATATGTATATATATATTATGCAATAATTAGCATATAATTACCAAATAAAAATATGTAAAATGCTGTCAATCCTCCCCATACAGCAAGTACATTTGAAATAACAGACAGAGCCTTATTGATACAATTGACAAAGTTAATGAAATGATTAATGATAATTATAATGGCAATAATTAATTAATATGCTTACATTTTTATTTCTATATTAAAAAAAAAATCGATGATTATTAGAAATTAAGAATTACTATTTGACCAATTCATCAACCGATTTGATCACTCAATCTACTCACCTTTGTTCAACCTCAGTTTCAAGCAAAAAATTCTGAGGCTGTATGTGGAAAAAGTATTGAAATTTTTTCAAAATACTAATGGGATTTAAATGCATAACATAATATTGATAAAGATGATAGATAGTAAATAAAAAGGTATATATACATATTATTTATATTTACATGTTTTTAAGATTCAACCACATAATTCTAAAAACATTTATAATCACATTTCCAATCCATTCTTTCAAGAAATTTTAATAATCCCAGTGGCGTCGTTTCCTAGTGAGAGGATGTTCAGCATTCTCGATAATAATATAACCAATAAACGCACAAATCTTGAAGCCAAGTGTTATAGAAAATTGATATTTTAAAAAAATAAATTTCTTCGTTTTCATTTATGTTTCTTTATTCTGGTGCTAATTAATTGTCATTTATCTTCACGCTATTGCATCTGTTCTTTTTATAAGTATTTTATTATCCTTTCGGTATTCATTTCTTTCTTGTGTCATATAATAATATTAAGTTTGGTCGATGATATTGGTGACAATGTTTAAAAAAAAAAAATTTTTTTATTAAGTTATTATTCTATATATGTGATTTATAATAAAAACTTGTAATACAAACATAATGACTTCTCAAGTGAGTGTATAACAAAATTTTGAATTTTCAAAATGCTAAGGCTCGGACAACTTTTTAGTTTAAGAAACAAACAGCTGATAAGTTTTGAAGCTTGAATCATGAACAATAAAACTTATCGGCCAACTTTTAAAATGATATAAAAATTTTTTGTTCTAGTATTTGAAGCTGACCGATTGTTTCTGTTATGAATTTCATAAGACACGTGAATTTCTCAAAGAAAATCAAAGACTTTATCATGGCAACAAGTTTTTAAAGAAGAGCAACAAGGTTAGTATGATGACGTTAATAATAATAAATTTGTCATTAATGTAGATTTACACCGATGATTTAATCAATTTATTTATTAGAACTATTCATTTAACCAAGGAATAATCTCAAATATTATTTACATAGAAAAGAAAATTATGAAAGAATGAAGAGTCTTGGAAAAATTTTATGGGAATTTGATAGGTATTCATAATTCATAATATATGATTATGCTAACATGATAATTACAATATGCTAAATTGATCTTAATCTCTGATTCTCACCATTAATATTAATTTGCATCTTAATACATATCTTAATATTAATATCAAAAAGATTGATAATTATAAGTCAATATCAGCCTGAATCCATTTTGGATGCTTTGACTCTGTATTTGTTAGAATCAAGACTTGTGGTAGTTTATCATATTAGTAAAGAAATGTAAAGTTTATCTTTAATCCACAAGTTATGGAGAGTTTATCAAGACAACATCAGGTAAATATTATAATTATTAGTTATTTAGTGCTGAATAATTGATTTTCACATGAATTGCCAAATAATAATAACAACAACAAAAATGAATTTGAATTGTATTTAAATGCTTGCTACCTGGTGGATACACTCATCCATTTCAACTAGCGGTGTTGGTGGGTATTTATTAACTGCAACACATATAATAATAGATGATGGCAGTCCTCCTTTTGCAGTATCAAAGAATTCATCTAATTATAATTATAATACTAAAACCAATCAATCAAATGATAAATAAAAATAAAAATAAAAAGAAGTAGAAGACTCATTAAAACATGGGAAACCCCTAAAATAGAATAAGCATATTAAAAAAATAATATTTTAATAATATTTTTTTATTCATTGTCATCAAAACTTAGACTTATTTTTTGTTTTTTGTTTTTTTTTGATTTTTCTGTTTTTGATTCCTTTTTTATTACGCTCAAAGAGTTAAAATTGGAACTGGAATTATTCGTGGAGGAAGTAATGTTATCAACAACTGTATTTGAATGCTTTCGTTTCATTCCTTCAACAATTTCATTTAATGAATTCATTGGATCATTTGATTTTTTTAATGTTGATTTTTTTGTTTTTGATGATGATAATGATGATGATGATGATGATGGAGGTTTTGTTTTCTTTTTAGGTTTACGAAAAAGAATTTTTCCATTTTTATCAATTGCAGGCCTGTCATCCTCCTCCTCCTCTTCGTCATCATCATCGCCTTCATTGTCGTCTTCTTTTTGTAGACAAAAAAAATTTTTTAATTTTACCAATTAATTTAATTAATCTGTTAGTCAGTGTATATATGTGTGTATATATACATATATCTTAATACATAATGGTACGCACTCTCTTTTTCTTTTTTATCTTTCTTGTTGTTAATTTGTGATTCCAAGTAATCGTTGACTTCTTCCTCATTTAAATGCCTTCCTTTTTTCAACACTACAATTTGTGGTTTTTCATCATCACCATCGTCATCATTATGATTACTACTACTACTGCCAACTAAAAAATCGTCAATATTTTCTTCCTTTTTACCATCATCATCAACATCAACATTATCCGGTAATCCTTTTCTACGACGCCGTTCCTGATTTTTTTTTTCGGCTGATTCTGAAAGATTTTGTAAAAAAGTTGGTAACTAAATAAAAAAATACATAAGATCTTTTATCTATATTCGATTTATTAAAACTAAATAAATAAAACAAAAAATAAATAGGTGATAAAATGGAAATGTTTTTTAGAAATATTTTTTATAATGCTATTATTTATATATACACAACTTACTACTAATAATAATAATTTCTAATTAATTAACATTTAACCTGTTAAGAAAATTAATTAACCAACCTGATTTACATAGGAGAGTCCTTTAGAAAATTGATATGGTGTTAGTTTTTTTGGTGGCATAATTAAAAGAAAACAAGAAAAAAAAATTTTGAAAATTTGGTTTTTAAAAAATAAATTATATATATATTGATTTTAATACATTAATTTACAAACTAATCTACAAAAATAGCCCGGCTGGCGTAATTGGATAACGCACCAGACTTCTAAATTTCTAAAAAAATTGTTGACATCTGGGGATTGCGGGTTCGAGTCCCGCGTCGGGTACATTGTTTTCCGTCCTTACTGGAAATTGTTTTTTATTTTTTCAAAAATTAATTCGTTCTAATTTATATCATAAAAGTCCTGAATACAAAAAATAGCACACGAGAGCTTAAAAAGCAGGAAAAGGGTCTTTTGAGTTATGTAACACATTAATATAAAGTCATAAAGACCAAAATCAAATTTTTTCTAATTTAAGAATATTAATTAATATGTGAATTGCCGAACCGGTTACTTTGTATATTCAAAGGGTCATTGAAAAAGAACTGAAAAAAGAAAAATATCGATTAAATTTATTTGATTATTAATTTATTTTTTTTACATTATTAAATTTTTTTATTTTGAAATTTTTTTTTTCAATCATTATTTTCTACATGCAAGTGTTTTACTTGGGAAAATTGGATTGTGACTTCATTTCTGTAACAATGTTTCTTGTTGATTTAACAAATATATTAATAAAAATTCACATTGTTATTATTGAGTGTCATTATTAAAAGTTTTTCACCCAGTCGCAGATTATTTATCAACGATTGTATGATGTAAAGGGTATTGATGAATAATACAAGTATTTAACTAAAGGTGGCACTGATTAAAATATAATATTTAATTAGGAAACAAATTCTTTATATGTTGGCATTTTTTGGAGGGAAATTATATATTTTGTAATTAAAAATGTATAGTTTAATATTTCCTCTAAGTGAACAAATATGATGAATTTGATTGGTCATCATAGTAAATGAAGGTATATTGTGATAACTTATTATTATAGGTGTTATTAGTAATGAAGATGCAATTCTTATTTTAAATTATAGCAAAAAAATTATTTTTGTTAAATAAATTTCATCGTCTTCCCTTGACCATTGTAATAATAATGTAAAGAACAATTATTCTTAATTAAAGAATAAAAAAAACAATTTTAACAAAATACCATTCGTACTTCAACATTTTCAATATATATTAACAAACTGATCTGTTGATCGTGTGAAGAAAGAAAGAATTATTTTGTCATTCAATGGCCAGGGATATTATTATTTTACTTTACAAATTTTTGATATGCAGAGAATTTTAGTAATTCAATAGCTACTAGAAATGAATGTTCAAAAGTAGTGGCAGATATGATTAGATCTAGTTTCTTTAAAAAACTTGTCTCTAAACTTGCTTTTAATATGAAGATATTATAGGTATAGCAGAAAATGTTGATGAAAACTTTACTTCTTATTAATTACATATAAAGACACTTGCCGTAAATGATTGAGCTGATAGCTACCATTGCCGTAAATAGCTAGCAATAGAAAAGCTGCCGCAAATAGATGTGGTTGCCGCAAATAGACGTGGTGTCGCAAATCGATGCAGTTGTCGCAAATAGTTTCAAGATTAATATGATTAGTATCATTAGTCATATTGGTCGTGAGAAAATTATTTGTAATGACGAATTCAATTGATCGATCCATTTTGCAATGAAATTATGCGTAAAAATAACATTTGTAATTATTTGCAGCAGTCATAACTATTTGCGGCAGCGACAACCGTAAATATTTTATAATGGTGACTACCAGGGGTGACTACGTGTAAGATATTGAACGCGCAGCGGCCAATATCATGACATCCTGGATGTCACTGAAATTGTCCATCGCACGCCCAATACCATATGGTAATTACCATTGCTGCAAATAACCAATTACGACAGGTGTCCTTACATTCTTTTGGTTCGCCACCTTTATTTCTTAATACAAACTCATAAATAAATCTTTCTTTACAATATTATTTTTCATTTTCAGAAAGCTCCTTGATTTTTTTGATTCCTTAATGAAAAAATAATCTTTTTCAAATTAACTGGAGCATCTCTTTCTGGCGATCATAAATAATTATATAAATATAAAATTTGACCTTGTGTTTGTTTTAATGAATTAGAGCGGAGAAAATGAGGTTTTTTTTGAGTATAAGTTACAATTTTTCCTTTTTCTTTGTGGAGAATTGATTAGCATGTAAATAGTTTATAATTTTTCCTATAGTAATAGGATAATTATCTATTACTGTCCCTTTTTACACTAATAAAATATTAATATATTAAAGAACAACTTTAACATCAACAAAAAATTCATCACCAAACTTTAGTGATTATTAATTGATCGTGGTTCTAAATAAAGAATTTTAGCATTCTTCTTTTTCTTTGTTTACTATTTTTATCACTTTTAAAACTTCAAAATTAACTCACAAACACTGCACCTAAATCTATCCCGTAAAAGTCATTCTACGTACCAATATTAACCAGCATATGTGTGCTTTAAATTTCAAATTCAGACACTAAAGTCAGCTCAAGCACATCATTAATATTATTGTGTATTACTATTACGCGTGGTTGAAAAAATATCTAGTCAACACAACTCGTATGTATGTAAAAAACAATTTAATTTTTTTCATTTTGTAAAAAGAAAGAGGCATCTTCATTTTGAAAGAGAATATACGAAAAAAAACAAGTAATTTCATTATAATATAATTAGTTTAATTAAGCAAATTTTCTAATTCAAATTATAACATTTATATAGTTCTTCTTCTTGAATCATTGCAATATACATACAATAATGGTAGTCCTTTATTCATCTCCAGTACACACATTTTTACATAATTTGGAATTTTTGATAATCCTTTATCATTATCATTATCATCATTCTTGCCGGAGTTTTTACTTACGTCAAGTGCTTTTACTTTAATCAAATCGTCAAAATGGCACTGGCGGGAAACTACTTTTAGTCAATACTTTAGTTACGTCAATGACTAAAGTCAAAAGTTTCGTCATGCATCATTACGTAAATAGTAAAAAAAGATCACACATCTTATGACAAGCCAACAATCCAAAGTCTAAATAAAGATAAATAGTTCTCAAATACGAAACCAAGTAATTGAACACGACATTCTAAATACTTTAACAGTGCATTGATTTAACCTGATGGTGACTCAGATTCAAGGTTGGGTGACGAAATGTCTTCTTTTCGCCACACGGCGAAAATAAATGTGACGAAATAGGATTTCTACACTTTGAGTAATTTGACGAAAGTGACGAAATCAACAAAACAATAAAATAAACCAATTATTTTGTAGATTTAAAAAAAAATAAAATTCATGATATCAAATTCTAATTCATCCAATTCACCAATTCCTTCTCAATCATCATCAAATAATATGAATTTACAAACATTAAAATTAGATAATAATATACCTGCCTGAAAGTTCATTTAACAATACTCAAGAGTTAGCTACAGGACGTCAAGAATCAGATGATTCTACAGATTTTGAAGAAAGTTATGAAACCAGCAATAGTTGTGAAGCAGCAATTCTTTGCGTACAAAAATTAAGTATCCAACTAAGAAACATAATTTACGATGTAAAAAAATGTTTAAAATTAATAATAATCGTGAAAATAGAAATATACCTTTTTTATTCACTACCATCTTTATTAATATTATGTTCTACATTTAGATGATAACATCTCACTAATGTTTTGGAAAAATTCCAATTCTTTTCCACACATAATTTTTTTATCACAGTCACTTGACATACATTTTACAACATTACCTTCCTGTTTAAAATACTTCCAAGCGATACTTTTTTTTTAGCATGTATTTAAAGATGACTATTTGATGATATGTTTCTAAGCTTAGTATCAGGGTAGGGTTGTCGTGATATGTTATTCTGATTGCATTATTTTTTGTTAAGTGAAAAAGTGAAAAATGGAAAAAAAAATTACAATCTCTAATTTGTGCACTATATATGAACATTCTCCAGTAACAAAAATGGTATTTTAGGAACATAATTGTACTATATGTGACCGTTTCTCAGGAATGTATTTGTACGATGTATGGGCGTGGACAATATGGTGCAGGTTATCTAAAGACATAAAAAAAAAAGCCTTAGTGGTTTGAAGTTACAGTGCGGATCATCTATACTCAAAAGTTAAAATTTTTGAAATATTATGTGATCCACACATTGGATTTTAAAAA